CGATTATTTTATTTTCTTTGGAAAATGTTGACAGTATTAACTCAATGGAAAAATGAATGAATTTTTTGTCAGGTGTGTTGGATTTTAATCTCACTAGAGATTAAATTCAACGGGATTTGATTGGTCAATTACATAAAAAATTACACCTGTATACATGTTTTGAAGATAACTTCTTTTCTTATTAAAAACAGTTTTTAATTTGTCCCACATTGAAATTACAAGTTTTGTTTTGATTTTTTTCTCTCTTGAAAAACCCAAAAAATCTGAATCATTGAAAACTATATGCTTGCCCTGAATTTTGAGTATATTAATAGAGAGGACCAAAAATGATTCAAAGAAAATCGAAAGGAATTCATGTCTTATTAATTAACTTATATTATCAGCAAGAGTTTGTTTGGATGAAGACCAATAACAATAGTCAATAGTTGTGGGAGATTAATAGGTTATATATTACTAAGAGTTGTTAATATTAAGAAAATTTTTACATATATAGGGAGCCATGCATGCATGCATGCATGTGGTTGACAAAGTTGACAGAAAAGGTTCCTTTCTTTTCATCAAATAATGGACATTCTGAGTCTGCTGCATCATCCCTCCACTACACCCACTAGCTAGTAATAAGTAGTCTTAAATCTAAATACAGGCGGAATCACTCCTTTTGCTTTTAAAGAAATTATTTTCCTTCACAACTATACTAACTTAATATATCCAATATCCTTTTTATTTTATTCAGTTACTTTACAACGAAGTTGAGTCTTGAGTGTTTATTTAATTGTTGTAGTTGTAGTTGAGAGCATGGTTTTCAAAACCGGACTGGACCGGATGGTTAGACCGGAAAATTGGGCATCGGTTATTTGATTGGTTCTGTTTTTCCTTAAAACTGTTGATTTTGGTTAGTAAATTGTTGAACCAATCGATTAACCGTTCGAACGGTTTTGACTGTTTTTCAAAATTTTTAATTTTTTTTACCAGAATAGACCAGCCATTCGAATTGAATGATTGAACCGCTTAAACCGAAAACCAGACCCCTGACCGATTCGATCACCAATTCAATTTTAAAAACCATAATTGAGAGAGAGAAAAAGGGCCTCTCTGACTCTGCATATCTTTCTATAACTATTCATTAATATAAAAAGTAATTATCCCCCTCTCTTTCTCTCTCTATATATATAATATAAAATGGTAGCTAAGCTACCACCTGGAATGGAAACCTAAAAAGCAAAAATGCCATGGGCCCTCCGAACGTAACTCACCACATGTTTCCTTGATAAAAACACCAATTTCGAGTTTGTACTAATTAAGTACTTGGGACTTGGGAGTACCAATTACCATCATGAACTACACTACTACTATGCTTTAATATAATAGTTAATTTCCTTTCCAGGCACTTAATTTGGTATATAGTTAGGTAATTAGTTAAGGTTAAGCTGTGTGCTTACGTAATTAAGGTTATAATTATACTCCCCTCCACTTTCAACTATGAATTATGATAATTAGGTCGATGGCTCTCCTACGTATAATTACCGGAAAAAGAAGAAAACCAGAGAAGAAAAAGAGAAACTGTAGAGAGATTGTTTATTTGATTAGCAATAAAATTCCAAAATAGAAAAGAAAGTGGACAACATAAGAAAGTGAACTATGAACTGTGAACTGAAGAGAGCTAGAAAGTTAAAGTAGAAAAAAAATTGAAAATTTGAGAGAACCAATTCTATTTTTTTTTAATTGGCAAATGCTAGTATTTGGAATATAATAATAAACCTTTTTTTTTATTTTCATAATATACTAATTTAATTGTCTTAGTAACAGTGCACGCAACTAATTAATAATTAAACAAATTGTTAATGTTGTTTGTCTGTTTTCAGATTTTTGGTGTTAAAACATAATTATGGTGGTGTGTGGCAGTCCAGGCCTCCAGGGTTTCAAACTCCGCATGAATTGTACGCCAATATGAGGAACATGTGTAAGGACGTGGGTCTCGAGGTAGAGAGTTAGGGTTTTTACCATGGTTTTCAAAATCGGACTGGATCGGATGGTTGGACCAGAAAAACTGGAAACCGGTCACCCCATTTTCCCCTAAATCGGATTTTTTTTTTAAAAAACTTTTGATTTTGATTAACAAATCACTGAAGCAAGTGGTTAATCGTTCGAACGATTTTAACTGTTTTTTTTATTTTTTTATTAGAACAGGTCAACTGTTCAACCTGATAACCGGACCCTTGACCATTTCGATCTCCGGGTCGGTTTTAAACACCATGATTTTTACGTAGACTAATGTGAATGAAACATGGAAAGGCCGACATGAAGTGAGAGTGAAGAATTCCTTCGCTACAGCCTAAGTTGATGTGTATCTGTACTTCTCCTTGAATCTATCTATCTATCTATCTCAATTCATCACCATCTTTCTTTGTTGTCTTAATAATGGGTTCAGCTGTCTTCCCTTTCTTATCCCATCATTCTTTTCCAAACTAAAGGCAATATGACGTGTGAGGAGGACTGAAGACATCTCAACCAACCCCACGACCCCACAATCTGGCCACCAATTACCATCTCTCAGACAAAAAGGTTTTATCAAGTCCAGTCCCGCTGGGCCTGGTCCCAACTCCCAACGCTCAAAGCATGAGATATATGAGACCACAGCACCTATAAATGGGTATAAATGGGCCTAGGGTTCTACCCCCATCCCCTCCGCGACCAAAAGACGGGGACTGATTGATGGGTCCCTGATAAATTATAACATGGGCCTCATTAAACATAATCAACTGATCAGATGGTTAATCTGATTTGGGAGTTTGTATTTGAAGAGCCACGTGGAATCCATTCATCTTTTTTTTTTTTTTTTAAGCTGCCATTTGTGTAATTTAAGAAGATCAGGAGCCACCACATCAGATCAGCATACCTGACTTTGAAGTTAAGTCCCCTTTTTTCGCAAACATTATCTCTATTCAACGGGGAAACAGTCCACCTATTAAGAATGTAAGATCATCTCCAGCTTTTATTCCAGATAAGACTATAAAAGTCCTACTAGGATTCCATGATTATCTTATCTCTGGATTGTTGTAAGTTTACGGTTTGCAGGAATAGATGTCTGGAATTGAAAATTCGAATGGTTTATTATTTTTTCAGATTTATGTGAAGATTAGGGAGAGTTTATTTTTCTGGGTATCAGTGTTGGGTAAATAACTTTTTCACCTTGGGGGAAAGTTGCTAAGACTTGAATGGGACAAAAATACCCCTTGTAAAAATGGATTTGTATGACTAAAATGATCATTGTCTTGTTTGCATAGGAATAAAAGAACATGGGTAAATGCACTTACCCGGATAAGTGTTTCCCAAAAAGACTTACCCGGGTAAGTAACTTACCAACAAGCGAACAGGGCCTTAAGGGCATAGGCCCATGGTTGTTAACTCCAAAACTACCCATAGTTTAATCTACTTTCCATTAAGCTCTAAAAGTACCCTTCCCCCACAACAGAACTTAGTTGGAGAAAACATTAAGGTTGTGTTTGGTTTGAAGGAAAGAGTAAGGAAAGGTAAGGAAACCTTTACAAACCTTGTATAAGATTTCCTGCCTTTCCATTCCTTTCCCTACCTTTTTCTTCAAACCAAACATAGCCTAAGTTCATGTGATTGAGGCTTCTATGTTTTAGGTAGGTGCCATTTTTTTATCTCCATTTATTTTTGTCCCGACAATAATAGATTTAGTTAGAGAGTGAAGAACATATACCCAGACTTGAGATGAAGAAGAAACATCAACCATGATGATTTTGTCCCTCATGTGATGATGATAGTGCTATAATGATTTGTTTTAAGTAGAAAATGATGAATGTTGACGCTAAGATCTGTCCTTCATGTGATGATGATTTTGTCCTCCATATTCTCTCTCTCTCTCTCTACACCTTCAATCTCCCAACTCTTGACGCTAAGTTGGTATCAAAGCAATTTCTTGACCATGGCCAACACTGCAGACGTCTCTTCCCACTTCTACCATCCAAAAATACAGGAATAAGGCCTTGACTAAATCCTATATACTTTTATACTTTTATTTTCTCTAAAAAATAATTGACTATAACAAGTTTTACACATCTTTAATAAGATTGTATTTTACACATTTGAAGGTAGCTACTTTCGGGCCTATGAATTGTCAACGAGCTTAACTAGGCTCAGTTATGAGTGCAATTCAGGCCCTAAGACATGGGCTTCGGGCCTGGGTCCAGCTCAATCTGAGGTCAAAAGCTCAAGCTATTCAGAGTTATGCAGACCAAGTTCAACACCAATCAAATCCAACACAACTTAAGTTGGACTCTGGTTCTGGTAAGCTGATTGGGTTTCAAGGTTGCCTTGCTCTCATTTTGTACTTGGTGTTTTTCATTTGGGTTTTATAACTCAACTTAAAAACAGAACAAAAGGCCATTTGGCGTCAAAAAAAAAAAAAAAGTACAACAAATGTCATCAGATATTATATATAAACTTTAATATATATATATATATGCATATATAAATTGCATATGCTATAGTAGATTCAAGATTGGACAGGCTTGGGATGATTCAAATTTTCAAATTCGAGTTGCATTGAGTTAATCTCAGTTTAGGTTCAGATTGGCTGAAGGCTTCTTCCATCGCTAGGTTGGCCATATAAAACTGAATTGTGTGATGTTGTATTCATTTATTTATTTTTCTTAGGGGTCTCTTCTGGGGATATCTGCATAAGAGGGTGCTTTTCAGCCAACAGCTATTGTCCCTCGGACTTACAAAGTTCAGACCACACTCTGCAACTCGGGTCTATGTTAAATTTTACATCGGGAAGAAAGGCGTTAGTGGGTGCAGTTACCTCAGATAAAATGAAGCAGAGGAATATTTTGATCTTTGTGCAGCACTTTATAGTTCATATTTTCTTGAGGGCACTGGGCACCCATGGTTTCACTACTCTTGTGGGCGGGGATTGCCTAGAGCCTTTGCAGATTTGATCCCATCACATTTGGCATTTTCCCGGCTAGACCATGGGATGGAGATTGCCGTGATTCCTCTATTAGGCTTAGTTTGGAAAGAGTATAAATGCAAATATGTACTCTACAGTGCAAATACATACAAAATATAAGGTTTTGCACTCTACATATTTGCATCAGTTTATAGATGATCTGGGTTATAACTCTAATTTCTTCGATTACATACATTCACCTCTTCACTTGTTTTGGAAAATGGGCACTTCTAGTTTCCAAGTGATTTCTTTGGAGCGTCCAGTGCTCAACCTTTTCATCATCAGAGCTGGGTGATCCTCTAGCTGCAGAATGTTGTCACTGGGTTCATGGTACAAATTCTGTGACTGATGACAGAGCAAACAATGTTTTTGACAGCCCACACAGGTTAGCAAGAAAAAGTTCTTGCCTCAAGGAACATAAGATTCCCTACTCATAACCATTTAGCTGAGTTGGAGCTCCCTTGCTATTTGAATGCACATTGTCATTGGGCAATTTGTCTTGATTGCATTAGAAGCTATGTGTGACCTGCTAACAGCATATCCCTCCTGCAATAGCAATTAATTTGTTCTAATAATATATTATACCGTAATGCTACCCTAAAACATAACTCAACAATTCAAAGTAACCAAAATTCTGGTATTTCACAATGTATTAGATAAGGAAACACCTTTCGCAAGGAGGTAATCATGGTCCTTAGGGATGGGGAATTTATCTTGGCACGCTTTGCTATCTGCAACATTATGAGAATGGGAAGGACGTTGAGGAATTCAAATTATTCACAAGAGGATATTCCAACCACTATGCACCAAAAGATTATTTTCAATTTTCATTAAAAAAACTTAATACTAGAACTGCATAAATACCTCATCAAGTTTGATGTATCCAAATGGCAACACAGGGTCACTTTCATCAATCATATGGTTCAGAAGCTTTGCCAAATCCGTGGCTTTGCCAGCACCTGTCCATCCCCACTGTTCAGCTAAGTTCAACATTTCAGTTACAAAGGTAGCACAATGAAGAGGTCCAGTCCAAAGGGGGCCTGACACAACCACTGATCGTGAAACCTGAAAATGTGTAATGGCAACGCAGGTAATTATCAGAAAATAAATATTGTAAGAGGGCTTGTTTACAGGTGGCATATTAGAAGATTCAGTTCCACATGTATCTTGAGCCACATCTCTGTTTTCAATTACCCTCCTTTCTTTAATTTGCAGGAGGTCAAACTAAGGTTTCTGTTCAAGTTAATGAAGTTATTTCGTCGTAATTTGACCTAGCAAGAGCAGAATCAAGCTCAGTAGGATTTAAACCTACGACATCAGGTTTTGGATAACCATGTTCTGCTGAACTAAACTAAGTGTGCTTTCTTATCACAGAATATACAACTGTAAAGAAAAAAGGGAAGATTGGTCTCAATTATGTATGCCCAACTTTGATCGATCTTAATTGATCCCTTGCTACTGCCCAGAGGACAGGATTCAAACCCATGATATTTTGTACCCAAAGCAAAGGCGTTACCATAACTAAGGTAATGTAAACTGCACGATGTCTCAGTGACACCAAAGTCCACATGATGCAACAGAATTTCATATGACCACCTAGCCAAGCAACATGAAACATCCAAAGGTATTTGTTAAAACTGGAATATTTCATTGAAAAAAAAATCTGAGATGAGTATATGATGTAACACCACAAAAATTGTCAACCTTACAACTTTAGAAACTTTGAAATGTAGGAATATGTTATGTGCCTTGGGAGAACTCATCCTTAAAAGCTATCTATTGGAGGGAGGGAACCCAAGTACATATATACCCCACAACAGCATCCCATACTACCGATGTGGGATACCTCACATTAGCATCCCATACTACCAATATGGGACAAATGGATCGTAACATTCCACCACGCTCCACAGTCCTGACACCCACGCAGACTGGCTTTGCACTAGTCCACCTAGTCCCGACTGAACACTGCAATACCGATGTCACCACATGCGCCGCACGATTGCAACTAGGAGGCGTAGTGTAGGCTCTGATACCATTTGTTATGTGCCTTAGGAGAACTCACCCCTAAAAACTAGCTATTAAAGGGAGGTAACCCAAGCACATATATATCCCACAACAGTATCCCATACTACCGATGTGGGATACCTCACATTAGCATCCCATACTATCAACATGGGACAAATAGATCGTAACATTCCACCACGCTCCACAGTCCTGACACCCACGCAGGCTGGCTTTGCACTAGTCCACCTAGTCCCAGCCGAACACTGTAATACCAACGTCACCACCTACACCGTAACAAATGGTATCAAAGCCTACACTATGCCTCCCAGTTGCAATCGTGCAGCGCAGGTGGTGACGTCGGTATTGCAATGGTCGCTCGGGACTGGGTGGACTAGTGCAAAGCCAGCCTACGTGGGCGTTGGGACTGCGGAGCATGGTGGAATGTTACGATTCATTTGTCCCATGTTGATAGTATGGGATGCTAATGTGAGGTATCCCACATCGGTAGTATGGGATGTTGTGGGATATATATGTGCTTGGGTTACCTCCCTCTAACAACTAGTTTTTAAGGGTGAATTCTCCTAAGGCACATAACAGAATATAATATCTTGCTTCAAGGGGCATCATAATGCACAATTGGTAATAGTTCAGACTTTTATTTTTCTTTTGATGCTCAAGAAAAGGGAAAGAAACTCTAAATCCCCCCATAACGACTATATTTTGTTCATACTCCTTGGAACATAATGTTCTTTTCAATACAAACCTCTCTGTTATTGCATGGGCAATTTATCTGCCCAAGTTCATCCCAGGAACATGCCTGAGAATTCCCGCACTGAGTGCAGTAGCTGATGAAACCATAATACCTGTCAAGAATAGAAAAGCATCATGCAGCATTGCCTCAAATCCAAGTATGTATTTCTCTTTGTTTATGTAAATATAGCCTCACCTATTTTTAGGAAGCTTTCCACGATTTACTTGGAGCATGACCCTGAAGACAGGTCCATGGTATGAAAAGTATGAGAAAAGTGGCGAGACACAGTATCCTAAAACAGCAGCATCCCTTAGGGCCCCACCTATAAGCATCCGCAAACCAATCTCATTCGCATATGGCATAGGGCGAATATAGGCCCCATATGAAGCTAGAGAACTAGAAAACGGAAATAAAGAACAGGTGAATGGCATTGTAGTGTGTATACCAAGTACTGAAATTTTGTAAACCACCCATAAAGAGTTGAGTCAATAAAGTTAGTTAAATTTATCACAAAATAAAGTAAATATAATTGTTATTTACTGCAATTGAGTCCATGTTAGAACCAAGTCAAAGCATCCCTAGCCAGGATCCTAGAATCAATAGTCAATACTGCAGTGTAGATGCCAGTTTTTAGAGACAGCTGTCTACGCATTGCGTAAGTAATGAGATGATCACCATAATGCGATTTTGTCTCTTAGCACAGGTCATTTGTTTCTTTTTTTTTACTAAAAGAAAGGGATATTGGAGACACCTTGTATATCTATTTGTAGGGGTGTAAATTGGACTGGCTTTGGTCAAATCCGATCCAGTCTAATGTGAGTCCATTATAAATGGACCAGGTCCAATTCAATCCAATGAATATTCTGGACAAGTCCAATTCAATGTCTGGACCGTCCAATCTGTTCAAATTTGTTTTGATTTAGATTTGTTTCAATCCAAACCCAGTCCATTGACACCTATATTTTTATCTTATATCAATGGACCAGATATTGGCTTAATCCAACCCAATCCAATATAAATTTATTACGGACGAATCAGGTCCATTCCAGTCTAATAAATATTTTGGACCAGATTGGTCCAGTCCAATATGTCTTGTTGGTCCGTCCAATCCATCCAAACTGATTTTGGACTGGACGGGTCCAATCCAAAACTAGTCCATTGACACCCTTATCTATTTGGATCTATTTGAAAGGAAGAATGTATGTTTATCTTCTTATTGTCACTAACTTTCAAATCTAATCTGGCATATAATGCTTGGAGTATTGAATATCCACAACTTATGGAAATTCAGTAAACAATGCATGGTTTTGGAATTATATTTCGCTTGTATGTAAGTATGTGTTTTTTCTCATACCAACCAATCAGATGATCCTACATCAAAGGGTGGTCCACGTCATATTAACAGTGAAACTAAACTGTCAACAAGAAACAGAGTCCCTGTCAAAGTTGAATTCCAATCTAATCTTAATTGCCCTCTTAATCTGACGTGGATGGTGTTTTTCATCGAATGATGAAACACTCATACAAACATATGGGCGAAAGAAAACTCAGTTTTGGTCGTCCATACCCATAGCATTGTTTTTTTTTTTTTTTTTTCCGAAGTAGAAACCATGACCAAGCTCATTCTGTGGAGTACAGTCTAGAAATGGTATAATGAGGAATGCAATACAAGTATATAACCCTCATTAAGTCTCAGCTTTCTTTTGCATTTAATGGTCTAGATAAAAGGCTGTCTGTGGTTGTGTACAAGTAGAAAGATCCGATCTCTCTGTGATCATTTTCTTTGAAACAGTAATAAATTAAACACAATAACATGCTGCTGCTTCAATTTGGAAAAAAAAAATCAATCTAAATGGGAGCTAGAGATCCGGGCATTAAAAAAAATAAAAACAAAGGATTGCAGTTGTTGTTTTCCCAATTAACTTTTTTCTTTCTCTTTTTACCTCATTATGAAGATTAACTGAAAAAGATTTTTTTCACAAAAAGAACTTCCATTCAATGCTACCAATTATTTACTTCTGCGGATTAGGAGAAACTGGATTCAAAAAGCTTTACTATACTATCTTTTCTAACAGAATCACAACGAAAGAGAGAAGGGGGGGGGGGGGGGGGGGGGGGGGGAGAGAGAGAGAGAGAGAAACAAGTAACTAAAAACCTACTTGTGGGGCCGATGACCGCCTGAAGAAAATCCGTCCGTCGAAGTAATATAAAGCAACCCGTCAATCTTCAAAGAATCATATGCTGACCTGAAGAAAGAAGAATCACTGCCAAAAGAATCAATATCTATAAGGTCGAAGAAATCTCTCTGGAGATAGCACTCCGTCATAACCCGATTCGCATCGAAATGTGTGACCACCCATCTTCGCTCATCCCCCGAAATCCTAGCTTCCCGTGACAAGTTCGACAAGATGGTACTCCTGTAATCTTCATTTGCGTCGTTCGCCCAAACAAAATCAGCTTCAGCTTGAACGAGGTATCGGAGAGACCGAATTCCGCAACCGCACATTGCATCAAGAACTCGAAGACTACCTTTTGATCTCTTGTAGATAGAAGCAGCGAGAACTCCAAGGTCGCGCCCAATTGCGCTCTCATGGCGGAAGAAAGAAGTTCCTGTTTCGAAATCGAGGCCTCGTTCAGTTTCGTGATTAGAATTGGAGTCTCCATTGATTTCTCGGAATAGGGTTTGTACTCGATTTGGCAGGAAGCAACGGGGAAGATAGTCTTGTCTAGGGTTAGGGATGCTGGTTAGTGATGGTAAGGACCGGTGAGGAGGAATGGCGGGGGGTGGAAGGGATAGGATTTTGTTATGAAAAAACAGAGATGTCATGGCGGGATGGACTAGGGAGAAAATAGGAAAAATGACACCTTCCGGCTTAATAATTGAATCGATTGATTTCCAAATTCCAGATCACCTCACGGTCCTCACAGTCACGGTCACAGACACACCCGACCCAGAATCTACAGATGGGCAGGAACCGGTTTCTAGTTCTAGGGTTGTAACTTGGGTGGGCCAATTCAATCCATTCTTGAAAAAATTAATAGATTTCCAACGTGACCCCACCCAACTTCACGGGTTAGGATGAGAACGTTGGATTGAAAGATTGGATTCGGATTAGCTAGAGTTGAAGTTTTAGTACATTATAGGTTGGGTTAAAACTAGGGGTGATCATTTCAGTCCGGCCCGAAATTTTGGACTTGGGCCTGGGTTTTGTGTTCAGGCTCAACCTGGGTTGTATATATATATATACATATTATTTTATATACAAATATTATAACATGACATGCATAATTTATATTATATGTAATATTTTATATTATATAATGTATAAAAAAAGTTTATATGTATATAATGTTTTATATATGTGACATTGGCCCGGAATCAAGCTCGGCCCGGCCTGGCCCATAATCACCCCTAGTTAAACACACGGGATAAGGCCATAAGGATAGATGAGCTAAGCGGAATATTTTGCTATTCGAGTTTGATTTGGTAAAGTAAAAAACATGAGACTAGAATTCTAATTCGAATTAAAGACCTGAGCTCATCTTCCTATTAAGAGGCATTCGTTTTTTTTTTTTTTTTGGCCTGTTATTTTTTGATATTTATGTGGAGATTAGAGAAAGTTTATTTTCATGGATATCACTTGTACAAGAAAGTGATACCCATTTCCTAGTCTTAGATGGATAAATAATTTTCTCATCTAGGAGAAAGTTGCTAATACTTTGGTGGAACAAAAGATACCCCTTTTAATAATGGACTTTTACGGTTAAAATGATCATTGTCCTATTTACCTAGGAAACAAAAGAACATGGGTAAATGCACTTACCTATGTACCAGGTAAGTGCATTTACGAGGGTAAATAACTTACCGATAAGCAAACAAGGCCTGTCGGTTGGACTAAAGCTGGAAAAGGGGTGGATGAGCTAAGCAGAATATTTTGCTATTCAAGTTCAGCTTGGTAAAACACATGAGACTATAATTTTAATTGGAATTAGAGACCTAAGCTCATCTTCCTACTAAACATGTGTTCATTTTTTGGATTCTGAGAGGGGGGAAAGTTGGTTAATTGGATTATGAATCCTATTGACCAGAAAAACCCATGTTCTTTTTTTAGATTTACATTGGGACTAGGAAAAGTTTACTTTCATGAGATATCCATAACTTTCTCACATGGGGGAATGTTGCCAACAATTGGTTGGGATAAAAATGCCCCTTTTAATAATGGGTTTGTATGACTAAAATGGTTATTTGTCTTTTTTACCTGGTAAATAAAGGAACATGGTAATATATTTACACGAGTAAGTAACTTACTGAAAAACAAATGGGGCCTAAATCCTAAATAACTGCTTCAGTATAATTACCCGGGTAAGGGAAACACTTACCTAAATAAGTGTATTTACACAGATAAATAACTTACTGAAAAAGCAAACGGGGCCTAAATCCCAAATAAATACCTCAGTCTAGTTACTTGGGTAGTGTTTCCTAGAAAACACTCACTCAGATAAGACATTTATAAGGGTAAGTAACTCACTGAAAAGCAAGCAGGGCCTAAATCCTAAATAACTGCTTCAGTATGGTTTTTCAGATTCTACTCTCCTTTTAAGAAGTCTCCACACATGGATTTTATTTCTGCTTCTCGACTTCCTTGTGCTAACACCTCATTGCTTTCTTCTAGCACAATCTGATGAGTGAGCAAAAAAGGCATATACCTACAGATGTTATATTATTAGATGGATTATATGATCCATCCACCATGATTGTAAAAACACCTTGATAGTGATTGGCTTGTGGCCCCCATCCTAATAGAAGGATTTGCAATTGCTCCAACTCATTCTTGGCTTGCATGAGAGTTTGGAGAGGATTTGGATCTGCTCTCTCAAAGAGTTGGAGATGATTGGAGGCATTTTTATGGTTTTCAAGGTTAAAGCTAATGTCTGCTTGAAGCCATATATCTCGAGAAAAAGGGTAGTGAATGAGGATATGCTTAACTCAACCTGGTCACCACATAAAATGCATGAGCTACACTGTATGATGTTCTTAGATCTTAACTTCTCTCTTGTGTGTAGTGCTAATGGATTGGTTTTGGGTTGGACCCTGTATAAATCAAAATCAATTTGGACGGATTAGACAGACCAATGAGATATATTGAATTAGATCAATCTAGACTTAATGGTCCAAAATATTTATTGGATTGAATTGGACCCGGTCCATCCATAATACATTTATATTGGATTGGCTCGAATTAATAATATGTGATCCACTGATAAAAGATAAGAATACATGTGTCAATGGACCAAGATTGAGTTGGAACCAATCTAAATTAGAACCAATTTGAACAAATTAGACGGCTCTCCACACATTGAATTGGGCTGGTCCAAAATGGTTCTAAGTAATCATTGGATTTGATTGGACTTGGTCCATCTGTAATGGTTTCATATTGGACTGGATTGAATTGGACCAAATCCGGTCTAATTAACACCCGTACTTGTGGGTAATCCATTCTTCATTAGTTTCCATAAGGAGCTGAATTTTGGGTAGGCCTTTCATTTCCCACATTGTACCCTATAAGTAAATATTCAATGAGGAGGAACTATACTTTCTCTAAACAAGTAGACTTTGACCGTAGGTTTCCATATCATCTTATCCCTCTCTAAGTGCCTATTTATGGCAATTCTTATGATTTTTGATAAGTATATATGGCAGTTATTATGATTGCCTTGCCTTCCTCATCTTCGAATTTTTTCTGTATTCCATTGGCCAACAGAAGTAATAAGCTATGAGAGACTGAGATCTTTACTTGTGAAAATTTTGTGTTATGATTGAGCTCCTCTTTGGCTTTTACACAATGATTGTACTTCCTCTAAACCCATGGGTCTCACAGCATACAAGCATTGGTGGTAGGGGTGTCCATAAGAAACTGAAAAACCGGTCCGAATTGAAGAAATAGATCCAAAACATCCGGTTAACTGAACCAGTTGATTTGGTTTTGGTTTAGTTTTTAAAAAAAACCGAAGGATCGGTATGGTTTTCGGTTAACCTATAAAAAAATCGACAGTTAACTGAACCGACCGATATATATATATATATATATGTATTATGTTTCTCCGCCCTAGCAGCCCAACCCAGCCCAGCCCCAGTGCCCCTCTGACCCTCTCTCGGCCCAAGCCCAAAAAAATGAGTTTTTTTTTTTTTTTCATTCATTTGAACCTAAAACAAAACCCCTCTTTCTTTCTTCTTGTTTGATGTTTGAACAACAGAAGCCACTCACCAGAAACCCTAGCAAGTAAGTTGCCACTCCTCTTCTGTCGCCTCTTCTTTCTTCTTCGTCGTCGCCATTGTCCGGTCCGCCGGTTTTCTATTTCTCCACCATCACCATTCGCCTATGGGTTGTGGCCTCTTTTAGTCTTCTTTCTTCTCCTCAAATAGAATCACAGAACCGAACCATTTCTCCTCTCCAGTTGTCATCACCTATCACCAGCTCTATTTCTCCCCCGTTGCCGTCGTCGTTGCTGGTTCTACTTCAATAGTGGAAGACTTGCAGGTAAATGACTTTTTTAGTTAAAATAGTTAAATAGTTGATATAAAATATAAATGACATGTCTGAATGTCGAATGACACCATTAAAAGGTTCCTTCTTTTGGTGATAGCTCTCACTGGTGTTTTTTTTTTAATAAAAATGAAAAAATAAAAAAAACCAAAAATTGAAGATCAGTTAACCACTTGTTTTGGTTCGGATTAATACAAAAACCGGTGATACCAATTCGGTATATGCCCACAGTTTGGTTAACCGAGCCATGGACACCCCTAATTGGTGGGATCTCCGATCACCCAAATAATTTTGCCATTGAATTTTTTTAGTATTGATAAATATTTCTGTTCAATACAAATCAGTTTGATTTCAGGTTCATTTGGTTAAATTAATGTTTTCAAAACTGGACCGGACAGGATGGTCAGACCGGAAAACCAGGGGTCAGTCACTTGATCGGTTTTGTTTAACCCCAAAACCGCTTTTTGGCCAAAAAATATTGATTTGGTCAGAAAACCACTGACTCAGGTAGTTGGACCTTCGAACCGTTTGATCCGGGAAACAGACCCCAAAACGGTTCCTTATCCGGTCCGGTTTTAACAACCTTGGGTTAAATGGAGAACCCATTAGGCCATTAAGTACAAATTTTATGTTGTGGCTCCACCAACTTGATGACTCGTTTAGAACTCTCCAAACTTGCCCATCAAATAAGGCCATGGCTTCTAAATTCTTAAACCAAAAGCCACCTAGTAGTTTAGACTATGGACAGCCCAATACAGTATTGAACCTGTGTATCACACAGAAAAGTGCTTCACTATAAAAAGTGTTTTAACATGATTCAATCCCTGAAATCTAGGTCTCGTAACTTCCAAGAGCACAAAGATCTTAACCATCAAGCCACCTTCCATTTCATGATAATAAATGAAATGAATTATCTTTTATTAAAATTAATTCTTGCATTTAATCTAAACAAATAGTATATTCAATAATTACAAGTACAAATTAACAAGAATAACATTCAAAATTATTATTTTATAAACCAACAAAATAAATAATTTATCAAATCCACATATATATATATATAAATGATTTTTAATTTCAATAAATTTATACAAATAAAAATATTATTAATAGAATAATTATTTTAATACTTAGAATTATTTATGTAGACTTGATAAATTATAATAATTATTTTATAAATTATTAATTAATATGTTAATTTGCATTAAATAACAATGTATTTATTATTACAAAGATAAAATATTGTTTACAAAATATTTGAGAATATAATATAAATTGAATATATCAAATCCACTAACC